GGTTATAGTGACAAACATGTTTGTCACAATTCATAAATGCTTATCGGACTCATCAAGCTGCACACTTTAAATCACACCTCAATAAAGCTGATTGAAAAAAATGTGTAGCAATCTTAGCGACTGAGCTGTATGTGAGACAATTCCATTTTTTTTTTCTTAAGAATTTATTTATTTGACAGAGAGAGATCATAAGTACGCAGAGAGGCAGGCAGAGAGAGAGAGGGAAGCAGGCTCCCTGCTGAGCAGAGAGCCTGATGCGGGGCTCCATCCCAGAACACTGAGATAATGACCTGAGCCGAAGGCAGAGGCTTAAAGCACTGAGCCACCCAGGTGCCCCGAGACAATTCCATTTTTAAAAATCTAGGGTCACCTTCTGTTGGGTTCAACCTAACTCATTTCACTCAATGTTTAATAAAAGGGCTTGTGGTTTAAAATGTTTTGTATCTTAAATCAAAGCTATTTCTTCAACTGGAAAAGAGGGTGCTTGAATTTAATGTAAAACAAATATTCAGTGAAAAAAGGAAAATTGAATGTGTTCATACTTGAAATGACTCAGATCATTTATTCAGTGGTCATAGAGCCCTCTAAGGGTCAATACATTTTCATATTTGTTGATACTGTTAATATCCTGTCATACTGGATCAACTGCCTTGTGAAGACCTTATTTAGAGTTTGAGAATTTTGATGGTTGTAGGTGACATCCTGGTTGCAGTATGAACCCCTTACAACCAAAAATTCTCCATGTGGAACAGAAGCTAACTCTATGAGCTACCTGATAAAGTTTAAGGCTGAGTTTCATTATAAGAAATCAGTTGGTGGTTTGAGGCAAATAATGAATTATCCAGTTTATTTTGTAATTCTTTTTTTTTCTCTTTTTAAAAAAAATGTTTTGTTATGTTATGTCACTATACAGTACATCATTAGTTTTTTATGTAATGTTTCATGATTCATTGTTTGTGTATAACACCCAGTGCTCCATGCAATACCTGCCCTCTTTAATACCCACCAACAGGCTCACCCATCCACCCACCTCCCCACCCCTCTAAAATCCTCAGTTTGTTTCTCAGAGTCCATAGTCTCTCATAGTTTGTCTCACCCTCCAACTTCTCCCCCTTCACTTTTCCCTTCCTTCTTCTAATGTCCTCCATGCTATTCCTTATATTCCACAAGTAAGGGAAACCATATGATAATTGACTTTCTCTGCTTGACTTATTTCACTCAGCATAATCTCCTCCAGTCCCATCCATGTTGATGGTAAAGTTAGGTATTCATCCTTTCTGACGGCTGTGTCATATTCCATTTTGTATATGGACCACATCTTCTTTATCCATTCGTTTGTTGAAGGACATCTCAGCTATTTCCACAGTTTGGCTACTGTGGACATTACTGCTATGAACATTGGGGTACATATTGCCCTTCTTTTCACTACATCTATATCTTTGGGGTAAATACCCAGTAATGCAATTGCTGTGTTGTAAGGTAGCTCTATTTTTAATTTTTTGAGGAACCTCCACACTGTTTTCCAAAGTGGCTGTACCAATCTGTGTTCCCACCAACAGTTTAAAAGGGTTCCCCTTTCTCCACATCCTCTCCAACATTTGTTGTTTCTTGCCTTGTTAATTTTTGCCATCCTAGCTGGTGTAAGGTGGTGGTATCTCGATGTGGTTTTGATTTGAATTTCCTTGATGGCTAATGATGATGAACACATTTTCATGTGTCTTTTTTGTAAAAGACATATATTATGAAGACAGAATATTTAGAAGTGACTGTGGGATGCTAGAAAAGGCTCAACCCTCCACCCCCAGACGGGTCTCCCACCAACCTGCCCCGCAGGCCTGAAATGACGCTATTAGAGGAATATTGTGTTAAGCATTCTCTTTTCCTTCCAGTCAACATCACTTGGGAGCTTGTTAGAAATGCAAAATCTCAGCATCCACCCACAGACTGACTGAACTAGAATCTGCATTTTAACAAGATTCCCAGACATCTAGACCACATCGTAATGTTTCTTCCAACCCTGAAGCTTTTTGGTTGCTCTCTGCCTACCAGTAGTATGAACATTAAAGGCCTTAATTTCTTCTGCTGCAGTATTTTGAGATGCATTGAAGGTCAGGTGTCTGACCCCTTCCAGGAGGGAGAGACTTGAACCATTCATCAAGTTTCCTGTGAGACCTCTCCTGATGTTTACTTACCACTTGTAGTTCAAAAAGCATCTTTATAAGTAAGAGGAAGAAATTGCAGGTATCTGAAAAGCTTTGTGCACACAGCCAAAGGGGGGGCTCAGATTAGAAGGGCCTGCTCTGCAACACTCTTTATTTAATAAATGTTAAATGAAAATAATAAATGCCCTTCCTCTTGGCTTGGAAATGGCTTTTGCATGGCCCTGATACAAATACATTTTGTAATCCTTTCAAAGCACCTGTTGTTTTGTTCTTACCTGGGTCCTATGTAGATGACTGTATTTACTCACTGAGGTATGCGCAGATTACTTGAGTGGCTGAATCTTTCTTCCAAGCTCTGGCTGATGTCTGAGCGTAGCCTTTTCTCTTTTACCCAGAGAATGCCCTTGAGGCGCAAGCTGAGTGGAGTCCTGAAATTGGTCCCCTCTCCTCCCATCCTTTTGGGAGCTGCTTGTCCACAGAGGTGGCCTACACCCCATGTTAGAAGAAGCCGCTCAACACCCAGGGAAAGGAGAGAGGGGTGAGAACAGGAGTTAAGGGTCAAGCCCCTAGAGAAGTCATCTGACCGCCCTCAGCCTTAGTTTATGGTCTGTAAAATGGAAGGGTCCAACCAGATGACGTAGGATGTATTTGCAACTCTAAACCAGGAAAAAGGTTGAGGGAGTTAGATTTGGGCAACTGTGACACCCCTTTCCTAGTCATTCCCTTGTGAAAACACCACAGCTCCAATCTGGAGCTCGTATTTTACAGATGGAGAAACTGAGCCCCTGAGAGGATGAGTGACTTCCTCAGCTGCACCCGACTCGGATGGGAGGGACCCAGGACCCAGGACCCAAACCCAAGCATTCTGACTTCACCTGGCCCCTGCACTCCACTTCAGCTATTACCAACTCAGACTATTTGCTTTGTTTCAGAATTTTTTTTTAAGGCTGTGCAAAGGTCAGACATTCCAAATCTACCTGCTGCTATAAGTAGGTGAAAAGAAACGAGCTTAAAAATAGTCTCATGCAGGTACAGAGCAGCAGAGAACATACAATGAACTTGGATTCTATTTGGATTACACACACTAAAGAGGGCAAAACACTTTTTTAAACGTTGCCTCTGTAGTCTCAAAACTCCCCTCATAAGGTAGGCAGAAGCAGACACGGCTAATGCCCTTTCCAAGAGAAACGAAGGCAGAGCAGTTACATGAGCTCCCTAAGGTTTCGCGGTCAGAAGTGGACAATAATCACAGCTGCCAGGCATTTCCATGATCTATTTTCTCACCTAGCCACTGGTCCTGCCTGCAGCCATCATGTCCCCTGTTCTCGTGCCCAGGTGTCGCTGGCCTCAGAAAGTGGGGCTGGGGCTGGGGCTGGGGGAAGGGTGCCTATAAGGAAACAACTAGGAAAATGCAGAATGCCAAAATCTAGGTTTTGATAACATAGGGAAGAATCTTTAGATTCCGTCTAGGACATCATTGAATTTAAATATCTTACCAGTTTCAGCTAAACCTTCTCAAATTTTTAGCCCTGCTAAAAACAGATACTTATTTATCTGGAGTTTAATTACAAATATAGCTTTGTTCTGCATGGATAAAATGCAAAAAAGTCAAGAACAGTTAGCTAGAGTCAGAGCAAGTGAGAAAAACAGCTGCTTCCTTTTTTTTTTTTCTTTTTTCATTTTCGACAGTCATAACACCCAAGTAGCACAGAGGCTAAGAAGGTAATTTAGTGTTGCGGTTAAAAGTGTGGGCATTAAACTGTGTTTGCATCTTAGCTCTGCTATTTACTAAGCTTTTGACTCTGAGTAAGTTGTTTCTTAGGTCAGTTTCCTCATCTGTGCGTTGTGGATAATAATGGAAGCTACCTCTTAGGGTAGTTGTGAGGGTTCAGTGAGTTAATACAAGCAAAGTGCTCAGAGTAGAGTCTGGTTAATAGTAGGAACTCAACAAATGTCAGCTATTATTGTTATTGTTACTAGCGAGGGGGGGATGTTAAACATTTTGCGTTGGCTGAATGTAAACCTAGTACTATGCAATTGAATTCTAACACACCAAGTAAGGATGGGTCATTAACTGAGAAATTCTATGTGGTTGCCCAAGCCAAGAAGTGAGCTAGGAAACAGCCAGTCCATTTAAATTGACTAAACACAGAGGATCATGCAAAGAAATGGATAATACAAATAATCTAGTGTAGGGTTAGTAACCTAATCCATTGTAATAGCCAGTGCCTGAAGTGATGGTGTAGTCAGAAATGATTAAGGGCCTTTTTGAAAGAAAGAATTTCTTTCTTTCTTTCTTTCTTTCTTTCTTTCTTTCTTTCTTTCTTTCTTTCTTTTTTAAGATTTTATTTATTTGCTGGACAGAAAGAGACAGCAAGAGAGGGAACACAAGCAGGGGGAGTAGGAGAGAGAGAAGCAGGCTCCCTGCTGAACAGGGAGCCTGATGCGGGGCTCAATCCCAGGATCCTGGGATCATGACCTGAGCCGAAGGCAGAGGCTTAACGACTGAGCCACCCCATGCACTCCAGAAAAACCAGTTTCAAAACACTGGAGAAATACATTGTGTCGTTCATAATAGGTTATAGTTAGGAGAAGAGAAGGAAAATCCCCTCATGACAAATACATAAATGTCTGCTCTTATTTATACATCAGTCTCTAATGTGTGTAGTTAGTGTAAGTCATTTTCCCTTATCCTAATCAACTCTGCATGAACTAAAAATTTCAAGTCCTGGAGGCAGCAATACTAGCCCCCTGGAACTCGGAATTCCCAGAGTACTGCAGCCTCTAAAGTCTGGCCACTGAAATCATTTTATCTCTTTCTGATGTATCTCTCATTAGATACCAGAATTTAAAAGATCAGGATCCCTGTTTCAGTCCCACAGAGTCATTATACCTATGACGTTCTCTGCTCATCAAGAAAGACAGAAATGCTCTAGATGCCTTTGTGGGAAAGCTGAAGTTACAAAAAACTATACCGAAGACAAATACAAAATTAAGTAGAAAGTCTCCTTCAACATGGTGAGAAGGGGCCGAGTCTGGAATTGACTGATTGAAATAGGCAAACTTATCAGAAAGGTCCAGACGATCCTTGTGTACTCATTTTGGTGATGAACAATGGCCTGTAACACACATGGAATTCCTCCTCCAGTTCTATCAAAGCATTCCCAGGCGGCCCGAGGAAGCTAGTTGCATTGCTTCACCATCATCCATTGTTTGTCATCTAAAATGTTATTGTCGGGAGCTCACCTCGTTCACAACACATGACTCTGATTTTTGGCAGTTCCCAGAAATCAGATCCACTCTCAAGAACCTGAAGATTGGCCACCACTGAAGAGTCAAAGGAATGGCTCACAGGTATGGGGCTGGCCCAAAGGCTGAGTAGTGGCAGTGTCTTTAGGATAAAGGCAGAGCCTCTCAGGGGGCTGGTGTGCTGGGGTGACACTGACGCGGTAAGTTCTAGTGTGTTTGCAAGGGAGTACAGTGTACGGCCAAGTGCCAGGATTCTTGGAGCCCATGTGCTGCCTCCTAATTCTGCCTCTGCCATGTTCTGGTGGCATGACCTTGTGCCAATTACTTGGCCTTCTTGTGTCTTAATTTCCTCATCTGAAAATGAGTTTAATTCTCATACAGTTGTTGGGAGGATTAAAGTACTTAGTGCATTAAGAGTGCCTGGCACATAGTGTTATTTTCAGGTTGACTGTTCTTACATTGTCAACCATCTTTGGTCCCATGTTGTGGAAGCCACTGCCTCCACCTGCCTGGTGTCATAATGGAGACAGGTGCTGCCCTTCTCAGTGAGAACCATTCCTTAGCTCAATGGCAGCCCCACTCTGGCGCTCTGGTGGTCGATTTTTCACTTTCTGCTTCTCTCTCCTCCTTCTCCTCCTCCCTCTTCCCCGCCCCACCCCTTCCATGTATCTCTCATCTATCTTTCTTGAGATACAGGTGAGAATTAATAATGAATTTGACATATCTTTTTCATTTAACGGATTCAGAGATTGCTATAAGTGCTTATTTGTCTGTTGGATTTTTTTTTTAAGATTTCATTTATTTATTTGACAGAAAGAGATCACAAGTAGGCAGAGAGGCAGGGAGAGAGAGAGGAAGGGAAGCAGGCTCCCTGCTGAGCAGAGAGCCCAACGGGGCTGGATCCCAGGACCCTGGGATCATGACCTAAGCAGAGGCTTTTAACCCACTGGGCCACCCAGGTGCCCCATAATTTAGGAGAATTAGAAAGAATCAGGGGCCACATGCTTTAGCTGTTTCTCGGTGTTACAGTGGTGGATAGCATGGTACTTCATGCTGTGTGAATATTTGCATCTCAGAAGTATTAGCATTTGCAATGTGTAAAAGACAGTGTTTGGAAAAAAACCTATTTTGAATGAAATTTACCATTTGAAAATAGCTACTTCAAAATTTTGAGGATGAAAACAACTTTTGAAACTTTTGAAAATTTTGTTTCTGTTATACCTAAAGCAAAGGTAATTTTTTAAAAATAGCATTAGTGACAAAAAGCCACCCTTCTACATATCTATTATAGAGGTTGTCACCAGGACTGAACAGGTATAATTTCTTACAGCTAGCATTAAAATTGTTCTGTTCTCCTTTCACCAAATGTTGGTATGGGAACAATGTAAGGCCTTGCTTAACAGCATGAGGCACCCACCAGGCTAATTTATGGGATTTGGAATGTTAAGGCCAATCAAGTGATCTAATTGTTTCCACAGTGCTCACGGGTTTATAATAATCTTCAGGATCAGGGTTTTGTTGGTCTGAACTTCCTCTTTCCCACCCCATGGCCTGCTTCCTTCTCTCCTTCTAAGCGGTTAAGTTCTATTGTGTTGGCTAGTTTTAAGTCAGGTAGGAAACACTTGAAGTAGGAGCCTGGGTTCAAGTCCTAGGGTAAGATTACATGTGAAAATTTGTGTTTGGGTTGGGGAGGTCTTTCTCTAATTACCTTTTATGCATTTTATAAAGCCACTGTTGGGTTGGGAATGACTGACAGCCTTGACTCAAATGAGGTTTGGATAGAAAAGTATGTGTTTCTAAGATTGGGGTGGATTGTTCAAGGAGAGCCTCCGGGGAGCATGGCATCACTTTGCCAGTCCCCCGTCTCCTGAAACACCTCATTAGCCCCTCATACTTGCTCCCTGACGTTAACCTGGATGACATATTAAAAATCCGCTTTAATCCATGTGCTGTGAAATGAACTTGGACAACAAGAACGTATGCAGGCCCCCAAATTTCATTATTCAAAGCCCTGGAAACGCACAGAGGGCAGCATGATAGATGAGGGATGCCAAGCTCTATATGACAGTCACTTATACAGAGCAGACGTCTGTGTCCCAATAACATTACACTGTTGGTTAGATAAAAAGAGAAGCAGGGACATATGCAGTTTACTTTTTTCCCCAGTGCATCCAAGTTGCTAAATTTTATAGTTACTGTAAAGAAAATACGAGCTTTCTAGTAGGCAAGAAGATTTTTGCTTGAGTTTAAAAAGAAAAAAAGAAAAAGAACAGAGAGGGAAGACAGGGATTTCTATCAGCCTTTATGGAGGGATTAATGTTTGCCAAACCATTAACAAGTTAACGTGCACAAACTCTAGGTGTGAGGGTTGGGGGTATCGTCCTGGCTTTATAGACTGCCGCTGGAGAGTACTTAGAGTTGTTTGCAGCCGAGTCATCAGCTGGGGGTTGGGTTTCATGGGGTGAGGGGTCTATGATTAAGGAGGGAAAAGAGACAAGACAAGTCTCCGGGTGAGCTGTCAGGAAGGAGCAAGACTGGTGACAGCCAAACCACAAGGGCTATGACAGTCGTTAAGTTCCCTTTAGAACTCAAATCTGCAGAATAAAGAACAGGAGCGGCGGAGGGCTTGGGATGCTGCCACAACCTTCTATTTGCCAGCCTTCAGATTTGGTAGGTGCTATGTGGAAAACAGTACTCGGATCTAGTGTCATTTGCCTGGACCTCAAGAGTTGATTTTTGTTTTTGCTTTGGGAGGGGCGTTGCTAGGGGTTCCCTTCCTCCCCTCTATCCTTATCTGTTTTCCTAATGAATTTTCTCTCTCTCTCTGAGTCTCTGTTTCCTCGTATGGAAAATAATAGAATGGCTTTGGGGAAAGTTATATGCCTCTGCCCAGTATAGAAGAGATGTTCACTCAACATTTATTCCCCTTTCTCTCCTTTAAAAAATGCCATCAGGGGAAAAACCTACCGGGATTTTTTTTCTAGTGGCATGCCGTGTGGGGTCATTAGTGAAGGACGTCAAAACACGGCAGCATCTCTGCTGGAGCTTAGTGCTCAAGGGAGCCTTGCAGCTGGGCACCTCAGCTGTCACAGAAGGGAGGGGTGTCCCCTGCTTCTCATTCCGACCTCCCAGAGCCACTGAGTGGACCCCTGCCCTCACCTTGACGAAGCAGGGGTGAGGACCTGCTAATTAGCACGCACACAAGATTCGGCAAAGCCACACCCAGAGAAGGGCTCGAGACAGCTGTGATTTCATCCTGTTTTTCAACACAAGACCACCCATTCTCCAGAAGACAATTAAACCTGTCTCTGAGATCATAAACATCAACACTTGCCCTCACCAGAAAGATCAGATCCAGGCTATTCTTAGACCTGGGTTTAGGCATCAGTTCTGAGCTGTGTTCTCCTCCTTACCCCCCAGGGAGTGGGTGTAGGGAGGGCAGGGTGATATTCTTAACAAACCCTCCCCAGAGAACCCACAAGATGGAGACAGGGAGAATTTGCTTCACTTCCCTTCCTCTGGGTAAAAGGGCTCCTTGATCGGAAGTCTCCATCTTGGCAATTTCCTACACACAGTTTCCATTAAATGAAAAGCTTAGATGACTGCTTTAAATAACACGACTTGAAGAACTTCGTTAAAAAGCATAATAACTTTGCCTAGACTGAAAACTATATAGTTGACAAGGGATTTGGAGTAATAATCATTTTAGTCTCCGACTTCATTGTCGGTGAGAGCTTGTTTGTTCTCCTTTGCTGTGATTTGCTATCTGTATGGAAGCCGGCCTGGGCTGTTTTGTGCAGGACACCGAGTCCACGTGGGAAGGATAGGAGCGGGTGGGATTGATGGGTGAACCGTGGCACATGAAAGGAAGTGTGCCCTGACTGAATTATTTGCAAGGTTGGTTTAGGAAAATCATTTCCTTCAATCATTCAGATCAAAAAGCAATTATCTCTGGAACACCCAGCCTCCCATTCATAAAAGCACCGACTTCTCTTTCACACGGAAGCTTACCTTGGCATCTCCTCTGTATGCGCACACTTACTCCTCCCTTTACACCCAGACCTAAAATGGCCTCTGTTAGCAAGAGAGGGGAATGAGCCGTACGCTTCTAGGCCTGCAGCAAATTTAAACTACCCCAGAAAAACACTGGTCTTCCTCCTCCACTGATCAATGAGCGTTCATTTTTGTGACTGGCTTGATATTATCTAGAGAGCATGCTTCAAAATATCCACACAGCAAATGTTTTGGGATTTGATTCACATATAAGGGGAAACCTTCATGGAAAGCTGATCTCTACACTGAAAATGTAGTTTAAAATCCACCATCTGTCCAGGAGTATGGCACCTTAGCAGAAATCTAAGATCTTGTCCTCAGAGTAGGATCGATTCTGACACACACGCCTGTGTCAAGGCCACCTTCTTCACCTTTAATCAGCCAGTCAAAACTGCCTCGTGTTGAAAGTTCCCTAGCCCCATACCCAAATGGAGGATGAGCAGGGGTCTTAACTCCTAACCTAGAAGCCAAGGTCTACCATGAGCCTCTTTGCTTCACCAAGTCACTCTCTTACTGTTTGGGGCACAGGGAGTGGTAAATTCAGGCTGATGTCTTGCCAGCACACAGTAGTCTACTTGTAGTTATTGTAAAGTAGTGTAATATTTTTCCACTGTTTCATGAAAAGCTGTGCTTGGAGCCCCTTGGGTATCCCTCC